GATAGGTTCGCGGAGGCGGGTGCTGGTTGGCGGTAAGGGGTGACCGTGGCGCACCGAGGGGGGTTGCGTTGCGGATGGCTAGCGAGGGTGTAGCGGTAAATTTCTCGCTTTTCCAGGGCTCCGTACATCGCAGTCGCTGACCACGTCCGCGTCAGAGCGGTCCTGCAGTGCGTTTACAACCCGCACGTTCACCCATCCACTGGAGTAGTAAAATACTCGAGCGTATTTTTATCATATTATAACATTAAATGCTCGCGAGCATACGTTCGCGACAATCACGGCGAAAGGACGATCTATACTAATATTAGAATATACGGTGTGCAGCGATCTGTCGTAGTTTTTATCAAAATTATTATTCTACCGTCCGTCCGTCACACAGCAGTCGCGTGTATTGTCGTCGTCCGACCGGAAACATCGACGGCCTCACAAAAACCAACGAAACAGTGAGTATAAATTAATCACCAAAATATTTTTTCAGTACAATTGATGGTACGTAAAAGAAAAAATTGTATTGACGATAATACTTTTACATTCCAACGTACCACATGACTTGTATTCTAATACTACCTGTATTGTAATATTATTATTTGTTATTTTATACTTGAGTTACTATATCGCCTAGCATAATCGTCATCAAAATAATAAGCCACACGCACTAATTATAAGTAATAACGTAACACTTATATCATTAACATATTATTGTTACAACCTCGTTGACGCGTGTCCAGGTAGGTGACGATGATCGTAATGCGTATACCGTCGTACCCGTGCCTATTATTATAGTGGCTCATTAATTATTATAATCGATGTGTTTATGTTGGGTAAACACAAACGGGACGTCGTCACCGATAATGTTAGGTACGGTGGACCTCTGTAATATATATATAACATGGAAGCGGCTTATCAAATGTCGACGAACCGCTCGTGCACACGTGTATAATTTATACATATTATATTATTATTATTACGTACATAGGAATACGTCGCACTTTCTCCGATGTATGCAAATGGAATTTGAGTTTCACAAATGGTCGCCCCCTGCCCCACTGACGGTTTTAAACCAACCACTATTAGTATTACACATTGTGTAATTAAACACCTTAACGAATACTCGCTGTACCACGAATACGAAATACATTTTACAATATTGTACACTAATTGCGTTATGATACATAGGCAATAACGCATAGATATTGTATTAATATATTGTTCACGTTTCGTGACAGCAATAGTAATACCATCGTGGCCTACATTGTCAAGTATTTTTCTTTCCTAACGGCAGAATGGGATAGTACATTTTTTATATGGTTAATTAATTTTTGTTTTTAATTTCACAAAGTCAGGGTATAATCATTGTTTTTTTTAAGTGTACTAAATATCATTGTGTACACGTTTATAGAAACATTCCTTTATGTTGAACCCGATTTTTTAGGACTTTTCGTCCCCGTTTGTTACTTTTAGCACTTTTACGTACAATATTCGTATAAAAACAATGCAGATACCTAAATTTGATCTAACACATACAACTTTGAATGTATTCAACTTATATATTTTTTTCAGAGTATTGTCTTGTAGGTTAATAAACTTTTGATTCGTGAAGTAGTTTTTATATCATGGTTTATCTAATTAGGAAAATATGAATTGGTTTCAATCAATATATTCAAAAATAATTACGATAGGAGATTACAGTATAAACATATTTAGGGAATACATTATTATGAATTCAATTTTGAATATATTTATTTTTTATAAGTATTTTGTACATTTCTTTCCTCGTCTAACATAAGCTTAAAGCTATTTTTATGGGGACAGGTAATAGTCTACAACGAAAATAATTTATTACAATACTTAATAATATCATAAAAACATTTTTTCCCCATATGCTTTCAAACATATTACTATACCTTTTTTCTATGTTATATCTAAAATTTAAATTAAAACATATTTTCTCATATATTTTTAAAATATACCATTCTAATTTTAAAAAGTATAATTTTAATTTTAATTAATTGTTATAAAATGACAATAACGAAAGTGAATTAACTAAGGGCGATTACTGATAGTATAATTCATTTAAATTTATTGTTTGATTTAATTTCAATCTAATCACCTAACAGTTTAACAATGTCTTATTTACTAAAGCAGAATCTTATTGGTTTGATGACAATAATTGTTAAACTTTTTATGAATATGGAAGGAAACTATATCTGTAAATATAAACACCATATATTTTTTATAAAACAATAGAAAAAAATGTCTTTAGAACTTGATGAATGCTCAAGGACATTTTTTTTAATGTACACAACATAAATCAGAAATATAGCTGCTCCTGAATGTATTGATTTATTACAAATCCCCTCTTACGATCTTAATTTATTAGTTTTTGGAACATTTATAAAGACTAGAAGTGCGGCCAAAAGAGGTTATAAGCCAGTAGTAGCTGTTATAAATACGTTATAATAATAAAGTTCATATTGTAAAGTATAATTTATAAATACTGTAAGTAGCATATTATACATCAATAAAATTAATTTATAAATAACATTACAGATTATTACTAGAGCAGTAATTTAAATTACATTCAACTTTCAAAAATAATGTAATTAATTCGTTATTAGTTACAAATAATCCATTAAATTTCAATAATTACTAAATTGTATGATACCTAATAGTATAATAATTATAGGTAATATACTATTTTCACTTAATTTATATTAAGTCACTCAAAGCAGTCAAAGCAAACACAATTTTTAATCTGACAAACCATATACCCACAGATTATGAGAAAGCTGACTCACTCTTTCAGTGTACCTGAATACCAAATCCACAACTTATAATAATATTATTGAATACGTTGCGTATTATCATACTTAATATCATACGAAGTACCGGAAAACCGACCACACGACTGTGGTGTACCTATTTAGCCTACACATAACGCCGTGTGATTATTATTTTATTACCAATGTACAAAGTACATTAAAATTTAACTAACACTAGATACAATTCACTGCGAATGGATACTAAGCTAAAAAATGAGTTTTATGCATTTTTTAGCTATACATTATAGCAAAAAATAAACATGCACCCAACACACTTAAATGTACCCAACTACAAGATGAAATATTATGCACACCACTTAAATTCAAGTGCAATATTAATTTTTCTAATTAGATAAAATTCGTAGGTACATATCAATATGATAAAACCGGTAAGTCACTGAACCTTTTTCTATATTACTCAGCTGCACCTCTCTAACGCGATATATACTGTTATGATACCTTAGACCAGTCCCACACAAGACAGGGATTCCTATATACATTCGTAAAACATAACGATTATTTTTACTCGTGGTTTCCCAAGAGTTATAAGCTACTGATATTGCTGAGAACATAGAATATGACAAGTTGAAATTGATCCGTCGTTCGATATTATTTTATGTACTCAAAAGCATTTTCTCACTCTTCCTTTGGAAATTAAATAAACATTGTTCTATAAAAGTAATACATTTTGTTTCTCAAGTAACGACAACTCGGTTATTTTATTTACATGCAGTAAGGATAGATAGTATGGAAAAGCATTGGGTGTAAACTCCTAAACCTTATAAAGAGCTAAGGGAAATAATGTTGTATGCGTGACCTATGATAATCTCTTCATCGTCGATTTTTACTTAACCAACAATTTGGAGCTACGCAGGTTATGTACATTATGTTAGTGGTCATTTTTTTTAAAAATATTTTTAAATTGTGCACAAATCAGCTGTAAGAAAAAATTTTACTTTAACTGTCATCACAGTTAGTTAGGTTGTCAAAAATGCAGTAATTTTTTCCACTCTTAAATCTGAAATGAAATGTTTTTTTATCTGAACATTTCATTTTTACTTAAAAGTGTCTCGCTAAGGCTCCGTGGTTTTTGTTTTGACGTGATGGAATTCACTCAAAGAAAATATAAATAGGTGTAAGAAAATGAACCATATTATTCCTAAGTATACATTATAATAATCACACTCAATTCTTGTCTGGATATGGAGATTGTCAGCCTATATTACAAAGTATATGATATAGGTTGGTACTATCATATATTTAAATTGCTATCATCGTGGTAATTTGTTTTACTAATAGTAATACGATGATAAACTATACACAGGCAATACCTTAAAATTAATCTAAATCTTTTGAAAATGCCTTTGAATATAGTAAAATATAGTAATATTATAAGTAAACATTTCTCGTCCCAATAAATATTTTTGAATTACACTTCAAAATAACTAAAATCATTAATATTTGTTTAAGAATAAATATACATACATAAATAAATAAGAAATATAATACGTTTCATCAAAATGTTAAATTTAAATATCTTTAAAAACAATTGTGCTTGTAAGTATATTTATTAGATTTTTGGGTTTCAGTCAGAGCTACTTAAGAAAAAGCGGAACCTTGTATTATTTTTGAATGCCTCAGGCTATGTCATAATATATATAGGTCATTCCTATCTCTTATGTTATATTTGTTTTTATAAGCTACACATTTGTACAAAAAATCTTTTCACTTAGGTACAACATTAATAGGTACTAAATGAGAACGGAAGTGATCTATATTTTACTTTAGATAACCATTGGAATTATATTATATTTACACTCGTTTCCTCACGATCGATTGTATCAATTTAAAGAAAATATAAAATGAATATATAGGTTATCACAAAAATTGTAATCCCCGTGTTAGAGACCTGGTATTGTAACTTTCCCAGTTATTTCATTGCGTTACATAGATAGTAAATACTGAACAATAAATAGTAAAAATATAGAATTTCTAAAATATTCTAAATAAGTTCAATTTTCAAAAAAATGATGTATTCTATAATTACGATAAGTGTATAATATAGTTACTATTATATGCAATATTAGTACTTATTTTTCACTGTTCGTCTCTTACATGGTCATACACCGATGATTACGTATCTGAATAATCTGCAATCTTTCAAAAAAATGAACTTCATAAGTTAACACCTTTCACATTTATTTAAAATTATCACACTAACTGGACATATGTTAAACGTTATAGGTTTAAGAAATAATTACAATTGTTATACATAATATAATCTTTGTAATATTTAACACAACATTAATACAATTCAATCATAAATTATTATTTTCTCATTCAATTTTACAACAAGTACGTTTTTATGAATACTGCAAAGACCGTAAGTTGTAAAATCACAAGACTGCTGTACGCATTCAGAGTTGCACTAGACGGTGCTGATGTAGTGGTCGGTAGCCTACTCGTCACAGGAGAAACAGTTCTACCAGTTGGTGCGGCCGTGACTGGTGGTGGCGTTAATGTAGTGGTTTCTATCTCTGGTTCCTTTTCTCCGTACTGTGACGCCCATTGGTTAATTCCATCAGAATAACTGTTGAACCATTCCAAGTTGTATTCGACCACTTTGTACGAGTTTTCGAACGTAGGTCGTACGGAGGCTCGAAGAGTAGAATTGTTCTTGAAATTTTTTATCTAAAAATATAATTAAATATTAAACACATGCACGAACAGACTGATATGATCCCTGATTGCAGTCGATTTCTCTTATAAGTCTACCACTGACCGATATCTTTATTTTTCCCACAACTAACAGTCATCGGTAGCCGATACTGCACATTCGGTTAGAAAATATCATCTAGCCAGAGGAGGTTGTGGAAGAGTCACAGTGACACGGCATCTACCGGACTGCAATCACGGACTAATGGCGAGTTAGTTATTTCTCGTCATTGCATTCGTCGATTAAAAAGCCACGTGTCACCATGGGCAAATAAAACAACTAGATAGCCGACTGTAGGATAATATTGAAGTCGGCAGCCATATGCCAACGGTGAAAAATTGCATGATTGATAATATACATATTTATACATGTATTTGTAATATATATATATATCATAATATATCATATAAATGTTATCAATTGAGTTATTTTGTAAACATTGCCATGTTGACATAAAGCCAGATGACTTCAACGTTCCTGAGAGAATGTAATATGCAATTCACTATCTAGTTGTTTTATGTGTCTATAAGTGTCACTTATTATTATGGAAAAGACAAACACTTTATATTGCATTCATAAAAAATATAATTATTGATTTTACTCTATCTTGTATTAGAACGCCCTTGTATTTAAACTGTGTTACAATATATGCTTAACCATTAAATAATAAAAATGGAGATACTTATTATTTAAATTATTAATCAGCATTAATCGATAGGTGCTGTGCTGCATACAGTACTACCGAGACCACCATGGAGGCAGGACCGCATCAAGATGGATTAGAGAGAACATTAAACTAAAGAATTCATGATAGAGTTACATAATACTGTTAAACATTACCTAAGCAACGAGATTTTTAATAGGGATCACACTATTTTGACAGATTCATTTAAGCCCCGTTTAGACATACAATTTTTACAATTTCCTAACTATATTTTTAGTCAATAATAATATGACATTAACAAGTTGGAACATCATTAATTCAAACCTAATTGTGGTGCATAATATTTTAGTGTTTATGTTTATTGTATACTTTTTTAGATTATTTTTTTAATTTTTTAATTTATTTTTTTTAGACTTAGATTTAAAAAAATTCACCTTTTCGATTTGATCGTCGTCTGTCATTTTGGAAGCAAGAGTTGAATATATAAATGTAATGATATCTTCACCATTAGGTAGCTGATCCATAGTTGTGTTTATGTTGACTGACATAAATTCGTATAACACATCGAGACCCAATGGAGTCACTGATATTGCAGACACGACGGATCTCATGTCTTTTGTTTTGATCAGTCCGTTGGGTCCGTCTAGTATATGATTTATGTACCTGAAATCAAATATTATCACTCATAGTTCAATTATATCGATATGGAAAATATTTAAAAACCCATGATGTTAAATATGCAACATGATCTGAAATAACTCTTATAGATTTGTCATTGCTACACCTATTTATCGTCAATATTGAAAATATATACAATTTTGTTTAAATGACCAATTCTACCTATATTATGAACCTCTAGGTTTACGCAGTTTACGCAGTTTACCTATAAACTCATAGATTCGAAAACTTTTGGAACCTTTTCAATAAAAGCTATATTAATAATTTCTTTGAACTCCTATTATATAAGTTGCTATAGAATACTCACATATGATTTTTTTTTTTTTTTGTATTAAAATGGTACTATCATAATTTTTTTAGTTAATAAAAATACGACACTTAACAATTTGTACAAAATAAATATTTAAAAAAAACAAAATGTTAAAATCAAATACTTATGAACACAACTATGATGATTACTTTAATGATTTTCTCTCTTAATTTATTTGTAATGCAGACACATAAAAACCAGTCTTAATAATATTGGATTTACGTTGATATTTAAATACTCGTCGAATCTGTCTCCATTTTTTAGTGTTGACATAAAAAATATGCCCAGAATTAAGAAATGAAAAGTTATACAATTAATTGTTGTAATAGTGTTTGTATTATATATTTCAACTGAATCAAATCGGAAAACGATAGAGTTTTAATCTGATGAAGTAGGGTGACACATATACTACCTACTCAGTAGTATTTGCCGTTATAAAAATAAAATAAAACATAATTAATTAACACCACAGATATTATTCTCACTCTTTAATATTATTATCATTATTTAGTTAAATATTGGTCTATAAACTCAAATATTCTCAAATCATGCACAGCCAGGTGTACGAAAAGTAAATCTGGCACGTAATGCGTTTGTGTAGAATCAAATAACAAATCGATGTAAACCGTCACTCGAAGTCGCTTATACAAAAGAGCACTACATTGAGAGTCAATACACAAGTCAACTTCAAGCGTTACTTATTTTTTACTCAAAGATAGTAATATTGATGGCACTAAGCAAATAACATACTGAGACAATTGTGTCTTGTTGGTAGAACATCCTAAAGCGGACTCGACGGAGGATTTTTCCGAAATTGAGTTAGTGCTGTTATACAACGCTAACATGTTGTCAAAGACCGTTGGACCTTTGCTGTTCTTCACTCCAATGCAGAATGCCGCGTCCTTGATATCAGCAGGTATTCTGTATGGTACAATTATTCAAGTTAGGTATTTAGATGATCGCGATGCTAGTATGGTATAGTATGGTTACTGACTTCTCTCCGGCTTGCCATTTATTGAAGTATTCCTGTGCTTTCGTCGTACAGTACTTGTTCTCCAACCTACAAGCCCACGTCGAGAACGTTTCCCAAGCACTCAACACTCTAAACTCAGTGTTTCCGTTCGACACTAGGTCTTCTAGCTTTTTGTATATGGTTCCGGCCAAACTGCTAACGTGAGACTGAACGCAAAAAAATAAATGAAATTCTCGTTACACGTCTACTGGTTTATTATCATCGAACAAAGTCTATATATCCAGTGGATTAAAATATATGTGCATACCTTGAAGTCTTCGTATTCATCGCCGCTACGAGGCATGCGTTCTAACAAGTACGAGAAGCCGTTCATCGCCGAATACCACGGGGTTGTGTTGTTTTCATTCTTCAGATATTTGGACAAGTGCAATGGCACCGAATAGTCCAATTGGCCTGACCTCGCCAAATTGAAAGCGTCGTCTATCAGCTGGGCTCGGTTGAGCACATGGATATCGGTGGGTGTACGGTTCAGCTGCTGGATCAGCGCCATCCAGTTGTCGACTTCGTAGTTCACTCTGTAAAAACCTGATAAATAGACGGGTCAGTTTGAGATTGATTATTATTAAGCTCTGAAGGCATTACATCAACACTTACCGATTGACTGAGGGTTGAAAATGTACCAGCTTATATTTTCTGCAGGGCCTTCAAAAACAGTCAAGGCCGATTCTTTGTTCGTCCAAACAGACGAACTGTTGTAAGTGAAATTTTTGCTCACATCGGTTGTGTACGTGAGACAAATGTGCCATGCCGCCGTTTCGTTGGCGATTGCTTCGGACTGGTTTACGTAAAATCGAGCCTACATAAAAAATAAACAAAAAATAAAGGTAAGAAAAATATGTATGTAATGATATGTGGCTCGGTGAGGGCGGTCGTACGCTCAATCTGCGAAAACGGTCTGAGCGTACATACCGGCCGTCGTCGCTAGATTCCAGATGGGTGACCACCCGGCATTCTTAGCAACAAAATCCTTGCCACACATGCCACACATACATACGTCTTCCAATCAACCATTCTTTAATACAAACAGCTAATGACTTTTAGGTCAATACAAAAAATATATATAATCATAAACATAAATATTAAAATAAAATATTATATAATTATAAACATTTTTCAAAAACCAACATGACACAATAATATTCACAAAGCAGTTTGTTGTCTGAGTGCAACATTATTATTGTCATATTGAATAAATATACTTATCTATGTATTCGAATAAATTGTAATATTATTTATTATGTAATATAATGGTTATTATTTGATTACTTGAGTCACGAAAAATAATTTTGTAGTTGCATTTCTCGTAACATTCAAAACTGGATATCCCGATTGTAATGTCCAATTTGACATAAATTCGCTTACAGTCAATCCATTCCCAACATCATAATCATGGTCGTATAATATATTGTCAAATGATGAATACAGATCTCCAGGATCTGCTGCACTATAACTATAATTATTTACAAACGATACAGATAATTATCAATATAAACAATAAAATGAGACATGAACGTTTTAGTTAACGTACAAAGTGAGTGCTGATGTTAAACCGACTACGATTATTTACCTAAATTTACTCAAATAATTTTGAAGGGACAATTGGAACAAATTTTCGGACACCACGTATTTCAACATTCTCAGAACCGACGCCGCCTTGCCATACGTTATAGTATCAAATACATTATCAATCTCTTCTGGGGTATTCACGGACGAAGTTATCGGATGTCTGGGAGTCTGATCGTAGCCCAATGAATTCTGATTAGTTTCGACAACGAACAGTTCTTCCATCAGCCAACTGGTCCTCACCTACACCAAAAGTTATGATAAATTATATTTGGACATTTGTTTGTACAACATTGACCGAACAAATAATACTGTAGGCTAGCCGCTAGGTGCATATATTAATTAATAATTATACTTTACCATGCCGGTGGCGAAGTATTGGAAGTACCTCGCGAAACCCTCGTTAAGCCATGTGTAATCCCACCACTTACAGGTGACTAGGTTGCCGAACCATTGATGCGTGAACTCATGTTGCACAACTTCTGACGCCCGGATTTTTGATCTCGTTTTTGAATCATTTGACAAGAGCAGATAGAACTCCCTGCTCAAAAACAAAACAATTTTTTTTTGTTAAAGGTGTTTTGAAGGGAACAAGACATACTGATTAGCGTCTTCGTCTTTGTTGATTCATTTGCGCTTTACCTGTAAGTGTTCAATCCCCAGTTTTCCATTGCTCCGGCACGGAAATCGGGTATTGCCAACAGATCCATTTTGGGAAGCATGTAATTGATGCCCGTGTACTCCTCCAGCGCTTTAAGGTGTTTTGGTGCTTCGGTGGCTACATATTCAGTTTGATCCTTAACTGTTTCGTGTGTGTAAATTGTTATTTTTGAATCATTTTGATTTGGCACGAATTGACCCACATAAATGGCAGCTAAGTAAGTAGACATCAGCGGAGTTTCACTGAAGTTAACCGTGGTATTTTCTGGACTAAAATTCAAATTGTTGTGTTTTATTTTTAAATACAACTACAATTACATTAAAAAGTATTTCCAGATCATAATATTGCTATCACGATACAGTAAATAATAATAATAATAATAATAATATTGCTTTGAATTTAATCTTATCCAACAATGCACATTTTTGTACATATAAGTGTATAATAGCGATATTATAGTTTTTAACTAAATCTCTAAACAGATAAGTATTAGTACAAATATTACATGCAAATATCACGTCATCTTTCCTCAATTTATATTAATGTGGTTATATAAGAACCTTTTAACTTTGAAGGCTAACTAAATAACGTGCATCGTATAAACACTACAGGGCTTTAATAGTAACCTAAATTTATGATTGTCGATATTATTCAGTTACTATTCAACGACACTTACTGCTTTGTGTTTTAATCTCAATAATAAACTAGTGCCACAATATTTGTTAGAATGATTTGTAGATATAAAATATTGAGTACCTAAAAATGTATTTCACCTACTTATTAGTTATTACCCGAGTATGAATATTTTAAGAATTAAATTATTTGAATACATTTTCCCATGTAATTAATAAATAATTGCTTATTATAATATTTAATAATAAGTCACATAATAAATTATTGTCATCGAGAGTGGTGATCAAAACCATTGTGGTATATCTAATTGTACTTTGTTACATAAAGTGGCATCGGGTATTATAGTTGATTAATAATGAAAATAACGAAAAAATGTTTTTTGTTTTTTTACGAACAGTGCCCGTGCTCGATTACGTATAGTTGACACACTACATTTAAGATTTTGGCAAATGCACATAGACTAGTTACCTACGTTGACTACTTGATGTGTAACTACTGAATATTATAATATTATAATTACAATTTTGAAAAAAGTTGTTTCGTATTTAGTATTATTCTATATTATATGCTCTAAATGCATGGCTGTGAACGAAAATTACATATTAGTATGGGTCGAGTGAAAAAAAAACCCAGAACAAATAGTTTTTAAGTCGAAAAACGTATGGTTATATAGGTATAAATAAAGGTTATGTACGTATTAGGTGCATAATATATTGTTTATTACATTCTATTTTATTAGATTATACCGTTTGGTATTTTTTTTGTCGTGTTTAGTGTTGCACTAAATGTCTATTTGTATTCATGATATATCTCAATTACAACTTAGGTATACATATATATGTATATATTATATTATGTATTATTATATACTATGGTATACGCCTTATGAAAACAAATAAATTCGCCTAAACATTTAATTATAATGACATTCATTGAATATCTTATTGCTATTATAAGCTCATAAGCACTCGATAGATATTTTTCGTTTAATACAAACATACATTAATCATAGTGTACTTGAAAATTCAACCTATTTTAGAGCAAACCGCACAAGTACCTTTTGTGTTTCAGTACGGCCTATCATACTACCTACCTATCTTGCAAATAAATAATAATTAAGTACCCCACATAATAATTTTTGGTGCCACGCCTTTGTATTAAATTGATGAGACGATTTACTTTTGATAGATAATTATAACCGTGACGTAATACTGTAGTACACGTATGTGCTAAAAAAATTTTTTCGAGTGTCTTTTGAAAGTGATTTTTTCAACAAAACTACTTTTGAAGATATCGAAAAATTACTATTTCTTTAAAAGTAAAATGCGTTCAAAATGTTTGCGTTGAATAATTGATTAATGATTGAAAGTAATATATTTGTATTTTATGTTTATCACGTATAGAATGGTAGTCACTTTTACGGTATAGTGAATAAATTCGAAAAAATAATTCAAATATTTACCCATAAGTATAATTAATAGGATCATGTTTTTGTCACGTTTTTTAGAACAAAATTGATTTTGATTTTTTTTGTACTTCAAAACATAATATCATTTAATACGTCTTCAACTTAATAAAGGCTCATATACTTATTTCGTTTGTCATTTATAAATATTATAATACAATAAAGCAAATACCCATTCGATGTACAATTAAAGTGTCCTTACCCTTCTTCGGTTCTTACAATTGGCATATTGGACAATGCCGTCTGATTCTTTTGCTTCACCACCGATATGTTGAACTTGGCCTTGTACATCGGTTCGTCGTAGCACGGGAATGCCATCCTCGCGGACCTCGCTTCGAATTGCGTCACGGCCAACCACCTGTTGGTATACATACTCAGTGTAGTCGTAAGTCAATAAAAAAAAACCTCCCTTCAGAGTTTGCCATTGTATGACATGTCACTCGCAAGTATTTCACTCAAAAATCAAATTTCTGCTTTAATTTTTGAGCAGTCAATATAATAATAATGTGAAGCATAAAAATAACAACGACAACATCATTAGGAGGTGCTCACTTTGTCACTCCGTCTTCAACATACGAACTCTTGTACAGACCAATCATGTCGTCCCGGATGCGCCCAGTGTAATTCATGGTCAATAGCAGCTGTTTATTAATGGGTACGATTCTTTGTAAACGGATTTCGAATTGTTCGTTTTTGGTCAGGTAATTGATCCCGGTAACCACCATGTCCCTGGGTAACTTAGGATTCGTGACATCCGTTACCAACACGCTAGTCACCGAAAGCCCATTGAAGTTGAGCGTTACCTTGTCGGTGTCTGGTTTTATAATTTCCACTACTATTTTGGCACGGCCTTCGAACGAAGAGTTACTAATGTTTGGAGCAAACCACAAATCGTACGACAGGGGCCTCGTATCTTCTGGCAACCGAAACACGTCCATCTTCTGGTCGTCGGGATCTGCTTGTCCACGAACCAGGACGCATAGCAGCGCCGCTGATAGGACCGCGACGAGCTTAAACATCATTTCCGACAACGACGACAATTATGATCTCTGCGTAACGCAAGTAATGACGACGGTAACGAATATTGCGCAGGGTAGCTCCAGACACTACTCAGCCACTGCCTGAACTAATATGAACACAAACTGTCGTCGCATAACTGAGGTTTCGTCGTCGTGTGTAATGGCCTCTTTTATCTTATCTCTTCGAGTGCGTTGAGATAGCGGAGTTTTAAGAGGACGTCGTACCAGAATGTGTAGTCTCCTTCTTACAAACGTCTACAATACGGCAAATATGCGTTAAGCAGTTTCAATTTTGTATTGTTAGCTTAATATTAATGTGATATATTATCAAACTTAAAGGTTAGGTAATTATTTTGTTGGATTTTATTACGATACTTAAGTTTTTATTCAAGTCTTGAATATTATGTAAAATATAAATAATTAAAAATGCTCATAACTTGCTTAAAACTTAAACTGTCGTAAAAAAACCCCCCCATCAAAGATCACTGATAATGTTCTTACCTTTAAATTGCATAAACCATAGTAGGTTAATTCACTATGTTAAAGCTCACAACACACAATTGGAACTGCTAATCTTATATTTTGGTATGTCATTCGTTAGTAAGGCGGAGACAACACATACGGGCAAGTTGTACTCTTAACGACAAATTTAACTTGGAACCACGCGAACGATATTCACTCCAAACGTCAGTCCTTGCTTCATGACTTGTAGGGAAAAGCGGCGTAATTCCGCACTAGAGGCAAAACTGTATGATAAGGTGTTCTCAACATTAAGTCAATATGCAATACAAATTATTGATGTTCCTTTTCTATGGCCATAATATGTTAATTGTTATCTTAACTGTTAACCTTGTTTGCAATAAATTTCCCCTCAAATACCCGCTATCGAATACATATATATATATATATATTATATATATAACGTAATATAATGAATTCAATCACTATTTTATTTTATAAAAATGAAATACAAGACTATTTACTTATAGTGTACATGGATAAACCAGGTTAATTGGTTCACAGTCATAGAATAGTTAATCAAAATTGAAGGTATCTTGATCTGAAAGTATCAATAAATTTCAATTGAGTTTTGTATAGGACAAATTAATTTTGATATGAACATTTAAGAACAGCCATCCATTTAACAACCGTAAATCATTTTTTAAATTGCAATGCTCTCTTGTTTCGAATTTGGAAAGTTTACTGATTAATTTTAAGTTTTCACTTAACAAGTTTTTGCGTGCCTACAAATTTGACTAATTAAGAGAACTAGAGGAGTTACAGTTTTCATACTCGTAATCTATTTTGATCTTACTATATTATGTAAATTTATGACAAATTTTCGAGGTATTACCCTCACTCCATTATTTTAAAAAACGTATTGACATATGAAACATGTACACACAACTTAATTTGCTACAAAATATATGTATCACTAAGTAGTAATAACTAAAATTTCATATGATACATTTCAATAAACAATAAAGAAATTACTGTAAGAATAAAGCAGAAATTAATGTGCATGAATCAAAACATATTGGTAGAATAAACTGAATAAAATACTCACAATAATTTGGGGAGCTTTGTCGACACATGGTTTACTAACTTCTTTGATGTTAAATTTACATTATTTATATGTTTTTTTTTTAGCTGAAATAATATAACTTATATTTTACTTATTGTACTTGTAAATATCTTTTTTTTTTGTGTTCAATGGTTTAACTTTTTCATGAAAAAATGCTATTTTGACCATATTCGATCCTACATTATAGTAAGTTAAATTAAAAATTAAATTGACACAAAAATCAGTACTTTTAAGTTCAAACCTCTTAAATTTAAGTATGTTGTATGCTCCAAATTACAAAAAATAGTTATTAGCTTCATCGTACGTGTTTCTCTGTAACTTTTACTCATAATCAAGTTAGCATGAATTTTGTACAACTGTTTGTTTTACAAACTGCAACATTTCGTTATACTACGAAAACCATACTTAATTATGAGCAAAGTATTTACAAAATAAACAAATAATGTTACACTTCTACAACTTTAATTTAAAATATCGTTTTAATGCAACGGGTACCTAAAGGATCATTTTCTAAAATTACATCCGGAGAATGAATAAACTCGAGTCTCTTGTGTTCATATTATTTTTTTAACTTCTTTAATCTTATAAGACACAAAACTTTTCATCTTAAACGAGACATTTTGCAGCCTTGACTATTGTCGGTATGAAGTATTTTGATGATACTACATAGAATCGTTTAATGTTCATAAGACAAGCAAATTTAAACATTCCACGCTTTAAATCTACCAAGTCTCATGTAGTTATAACAGCTTAAATTGAATTTACGAACATAATATAATACAATGATAAGTAGATAAAAGGATAACTACTAAGAAATATTTATACAGTTTCAAATGCAAATAACTATAAATATTATAATTTCCATGAAATGCACCATTATTATATCAATTAATATATGGCCAAGTAATATGTACCTACTTAATATTAATGTGATCCCTAATGCCTATTAATACTATCCATATCTGGGCATAACTAACATGAAATGTTTAGGATTTATTATTATTTAAAATTGTAAGTCTTCGTAAAATACCTAGCATAATATATAATATAACGTAGGTACCTACTCTTGTACTACTACTATTATATCATTTACTACTCAATACTCATGATATAACATGTTACTGGAAAAAATAACATATTTGATAGTATCAATAGGTACACACAAGTACACAAAATATTACTAGTTACAAGTATTATTCGGACAGACAGTTGTGTATAATGATTTATGAATATATATGGATTAAATTATTATTGATTGGAAAACATATGAAACGCATATCTATTTTGATATTTCTGTAAGCCGAGTTTGTACCGTCTGAAAATAAAGAAATTTTACTTTTCTAAAACAATCACAATGGTAGAAAAGTTATTCTAAAGATTTTATGTTATACGTCATATTTAGATACAAGACTATAAGCAAATTGTTTATTTGATTGTTATCAAGTAATATCAACATAATACATCCATGATCCATTGTCTGTTATAAATATAAAATTAAATCCCGATTGTGTCCGTCTTGGTTATAATGCATTTTCCCCAAAAAATGTAATTAAACTATTATTTGAACTCTACATTATTATACGTTATGGTTTGAAAAAATATTTTTTAAGACTCCTCAACAATCTTCACATAATATTTATAAGATAATTAATATTGTTAACAGTCAAATTGTTTAAATTTCAAACAAAATTAAAGAATATTAATAATGGTCAATAATGATTTTAATTACTTTATTTCTAAAAAAAAATATAAATTGTAAAAAAAAAGCTAGATATCGGTTTATCGTAAAATAAAATAAGCAATAATAAACAAAAATCTAATTAAAAGAAAGCTTTTAATAAGATACAACTAAAATTAATATATACAACTTATTTAACTAAATTATGTTTATGTTCTACCATGGCTTATATTAGATATTCAAAATAAAATTTGTTTTTGTTTATGTCAAGTTATTTAATAACAATAAGTGTTTTTGCATTTTAATATGTAATCTATTTTATCTAACGTTGTCAGTTAAGAAACGAACAATTGAAATTTATGAAAATAATATTTTATATCCATTAAGAGATAAGTTGTAAACTGGAAACAGTGAAAACCAATGCATTTAAAATCTATCTTAACAAATAATATTTTAAAAGTTGGATTATAGTGCAGGTAAAATATATTCGAATACAAAAAAGATTATTTTAAAATTGAGTCTTTTGAAGGTATAAGAGTAGTAATATATTTTTTATAACATCCACTGATGACTAAATATAATTCCGCCAGTAGTCCAAAAATACATACTCAATGTAATTAATGGATCTTTTTTAGTTACAAAAAAATATTATTTATTTTCAAATACACATAGTTACATTATAATAAAACCATAACTATTATTTATTAAAAAACTATTTAAAACTAGTATTAATTATAACTAGTGATAACTGACATCAATGCTTATATTGTAACTAATTGACAATTTGAAATATGTCGTTGTATTTATTTTGAATAGGGAATGTTAAGATTTTAAACTTTTATACATTTCACTTGAGTAAAGATGTAATTCATTGAACATGAGTATTCAGAATAATAAAACATAGTGTTACCTGCTCAAAGTTGACGTATTTTTTTGATTATTTAAATACAAAAACTATTATTTGATTTGGCTATTTTCCGAGTATTCTAATTTACGATTAAACTGCTACATTATAGTCCTAGTATATAATAAATACATAATCAACATTAATGGTGCGTCAGTTGATGAAAAAGTAATTTCTACGGTCTTTCCTAAACAATTTTAGCGACTCTTGCAAGCTTTAGTAAGTATAGAAAACACTTTAAAATTATAAATATATTCATGTGAACTAGGTTTTGAACCAAAACATCATAGGATAATAGCATAACAGGTGAATACTTGATTTTCTCCAAGTATGCTTCATTCTCATGTGGGCATCTTAAAATATAGATTATGATTAAGCTTAGGGACCTATAACTATTATGATTTCGATAATATTCCACATTTGCATTTTATCTCATTATATGTTATAACTCAATACACACCTATATCATAGTATACATATATATATATATATATTATGTTACTGTCAAAGACATAAATCAAAGAATTAACGTTAATGACTATCCAATAACGATATTTCCAATCAAATTAGACTATATAAGTAATATGATATTGGCTAGGAAACAACGTAAGTCCCCATTATTTTAGGGCATTGATGCAATCAGCAATATTTTCTGGATAACGAAGATAATTCCAGTCTTTTTTCGGCCATAGTTGATAAAAAAAAAATGTTTGTTCAATTTTCTTTTTGAATTAAGAAACGTACCTGTGTTGTAAAATCGAATTATCTAATCGGTAGGTACTAACAAAAACATACTTTTGAGTAATATGTCAACCATTGTACAGTTTAAAGTAAAA